TTGTGCTGTGCGTGCGGCTTGCAGCGAGAGGACAGGACAATTACAGCAGGAAGGTCGTCAGCAGTACAGCAGACAGGGTGTCGTGCGGCCCTCTGCTCTGTCGAAGCAAGAGCGTCAGCAGTGCAGCAGACAGGGCGTCGTGCGGCGCTCTGCTCTGCCAAGCATGCCTCGTGCAGTCGCGCCTGCCGCTGTGAGGGGTCAGCCCCCACGCGCGCCGTACCTCCCGCAAGACGCCAGTGGCTGCAGGCCATGTCGTTGATGATGTCTCTGGAATGGATTCCACGCGGTGGTAAGCGCGAGGCCGAGCTGGCTCTCGCTGAGGACGAGGGAACAAGGGCAGATCGATCTAAGGACAGCGCGATGGCAGGCTCGCACGTGATTCTGTTATTCTTGGAAATTGCGACTTTTCGACGTTGTCAATTTGTGAACGAGCAGGTGTGCAAGCATGGCGAACGCACAGGACGCGAGCCATCCTCGTTGGTTGCTGCTCCCATGATGAGAGGGCACAGCCGTGAGCGAGCCGCAAAAACATATGCCGTAAAGTGAAAGATTTCGATTTGTTTGCAACTTTTATGCTGTCCCGCGCCGCAGATCTGTTGGTGGCCATTCTTTTGCAGCCGGGGAGCACTCTGCCCAAGCAGCGACAATCGAAAGAACAAACGGGATTCCAGTCCGCTCACACTCGTTCACTGCCACGTGCACCGCGTGCTATCGCCTCACCCATGCTCTGCACCACCCCACTCCACGGCCTGCCTCGGCTGCGCGATGTAGCGTAGCACAGCGCTGCGCCTTGGGCGGCCCCGCTACGCCATAAGCAAGAAGGGTGCGCAGGGCATAGGAAAGGTTCTAATGAATTGTTTGACCCAATGGCATTGACCCTCAACACATGACGCTGGGGAAAGTGCCGTCGCGCCGCGCCTGACCGCGCCCGTCCCCGGCCGCCGCCTGCTCCCGCTGCCGCTGCCGTCCCCACCGCCCCCGCAGCCGCAACCACCTCCGCCGCCTCACCGCGCCGCAGCCTCGGCCGACGACGCGCCGTGCGCGGCGGCGAGCGGCAGCACCGGCGGCGGCGCGCTTGGCGCCGCGGCGGCCGCGGCCGCTGCCGGACCGGCGCAGCTGCCAGTGCTCCCGGACATCGACCTGAAGCCCGGGGAAGCCACAGACCCCAAGGCCAAGAGCCTCGCATTCAATGGCGTCCTCTCGCTGCTGAAAGCCCTTGACCTGGACAGCGCCACAAGATCGCGCGTTTTCAAAGTGCTCAACGCGCTGTTCGCCGACCCGGGCTCCGCGGCCGTGCGGGCGCAGCTGCCAGTGCTCCCGGACATCGACCTGAAGCCCGGGGAAGCCACAGACCCCAACGCCAAGAGCGTCGCATTCAATGGTGTCCTCTCACTGTTGCAACCCCTTGATCTGGACGGTGCTACGAGATCGCACGTTTTCAGAGCGCTCAACACGCAGCTCGCCGACCCGGGCTCCGTGGCGCACTTTTTGTCAGTGCGGTACCAGTTCCTGCGGCGGTGCTGCACAGAGAACAACGCGGACGCGGCGAGGGCGGCCGTCCAGGAGATGGCCGCAGAGTCCGCCTCGTGATCCGAGATCTGCTCAAATCTGATCTGGTTGGGGAGACGCCGCGGAGCCGTCGCGTCTGCGGGCGCAGTTGTTTCGGCTGGGTGTGGTGTATGGGTGCGCCCCGCTGCGGGGTCCCTGCACCCCTCCCCCTGATGGGTTTGGGTGAGCTGGTGCAGCCCCTGCCTTGCCGCCAGCCCCAGTTCCGAGGCCGGGGTTGCCCGTGCGCGGGCTCAGCACTGCTGCGGCTCCAGCCTCCTGCGCAGGCGAGCGTGCTTCTGGCGGGTTGGGGCGTGCGCATATGCGTGTTTCCGTGTGTATGGCGGTATGATGTGATCCTTTGGGGGTTTCACCCCGTGATCCAGCCGGCGCTATCTATCGTTTGTTTCCTTATCGCGCTTTTGTGCTGCGGCCAGCGGCTATGCCTGGCGCGTGCGTGTCCGTAAGCAGCAGACAACTGGCAGGCAGGCAGGCAGGCAGGCAGGCAGGCAGGCAGGCAGGCAGGCAGGCAGGCAGGCAGGCAGGCAGGCAGGCAGGCAGGCAGGCAGGCAGGCAAGCAGGCAGGCGGACAGGCAGACAGGCAGGCATAGGCCGCACTATGTATTCTCTACCCTGTGTGGCAAACCCATGTTTCTCCCTTCCGGGCCTCCAGTCCCTATTCTTAATCTTAAGAGCCTCCAAGGCCCTGGGATGGGCTCCCCTTTCGCGGTCAAACGGCGAGACCCCAGCCCCAGCGGGCGCGCAGCGCGCTGGCCCTACAGGATCAGCCTGCCTTTGCTCGGCCCACCGCGCCGAGCGCGTGCCCGTATGCTTTTTTGGGTCCAGAACATGTCTGCCTCCCCAGCCGTTTGCCATGACCCACCCAGGCCTCCTTCGTCCCGGGAGGTGGAGCTTCAAATGCGAACCAGAGAACGCGTATGAACCGCAACCGCACTCCTGTCGCCGACAAAGTCTGTGATCTGCGCGCGCGCCCGTGCGCGTGGCGCCAGCAGCCTCCGTGACCCCCCCTCACCCCTCCAGCACTGACTTGTGACCGGTGCCCCGCCGCGCCCCGCACTGACGTTGTTTGCAGTCTTGAGCTACTGAGTGGCAAGGTGCTCGGCAGTCAAGCATGCAGTAGTGCTGACCCCACATGTGTTTTGCATGGGTAGACACGTGTAACAAGAAAGGCCACGCCCATTCTGCAAAGAGAGTCCGGCAAAAGTGTCAATGCATATGTTTGATAGCAAAGCATTGTCACACGATCCCGTGGTCGCCTGCTGGAGCCGCGCAGGTTGACATGATTTGCACAATACTGTTACACAAGATGTGGCAAACACCAGCTGGAGCTGCCCAGGGTCACGGTGTTTGCACACGTACAGATTGCCACAACAGCAATGCCACCTACACGCATGGCCGCAAAGAGCAGCACTCAATTCCGCATCAGCCTCATTTTGCACAATTTCTCACCATCAGCACAGTGGCTTGGTCAACCACATAAGGCGTCCCTCGTCGCGTGCCCTTCCCGCCCTTGCTTTGAGCTTGGCGGCTGTCAGCCCTCTGCGCCAACGCGCCTGCCTGAGCAGAGCGGAGGCAGCGCCAGCAGGATTAGGATTAGGATTGTTACAGCGTCCCGCGGTCGCCCGCTCCTGGAGCCATCCAGGCT